AGGCAGCTACTCAGCTGCTTGTGGTAGATCCCACCATGGAGTTGATTGCCAGTCTCATCATGGGGAATAACTACCACCAGCTGCCCAGCCGCTCAAGCAGGCCCAGCCAAGTTGACACACAAACATAACCATCACACTGGCTATTGTTTTGTTTCAAAACTGTGACCTCAATTACAGTAAAAACAAGACTATCTCAATATCCTTTGCTTAAGAAAATACTTAAAACTATGTATATATGTTAAGTCCAGTAACATATGCATTAAAGAACAGAAGACAACAGTACAATGTTAACAGTTATCTCTGAAGTACCATTATTTTTTAAAAAAAGGAAACAACCAACCAACTAGTTGGCCTCCAGCTGATTCTGACTCAGGCTGACCCAATGTGCTGCAGGACAGAACTGCACTCCGTGAGGTTTTCAAGTCTGTGATCTTTCAGTGACATATTGCCAGGACTTTCTTCCAAGGTGTCTCTGGGTGGATTCAAACCACCAACTTTCAGTCATAATTGAGCATATTACAATTTTCACCTAGGTGAGTTTTAAGTTTAATCTAGTTACTCTTTCCTCTATTTTCCAGATTTTCTAGAATATGCAGCAATTTTATAAAGGAAAAAAATAAGTATTTTAAAAATTCTGATGTTAACTTAAAAAGTTAAATTTCATTCAGCAAATGACTTATATATTATTTATATATCATATAAATGCAAAGTATAAATGAAACAGAAGCCTAACTCTCATGACTTAGCAAAGTATGGAAGCTGTATAGCTAGATAATGTTTGCGTCATTTTGACCCATACAGGAAGTAATATAAGGAGCTCTGGTGGTGTAATGGGTAAGGCAATTTGGCTGCTACCCCAAAGGTTAGTGGTTCAAATCCATCAGCTGCTCTGCAGGAGGAAAATGAGGCAATCAACTTCCATACAGATTTACAGCCTTGGAAACACAATGGTGGTCACTATGATTTGGAATTGACTCAATGGTGATATGTGGTAGTAGAAAGTAAGTTCTCTTAACTGAGTTATGGTTAACTTCCTTTGAATTAAAAAATTCTCACAAGTGATAGCCCAAAGGTTTATATATCCATCTATCCCTATTCTTAAAACCATGAGACAGGGTTAAGAATACTAAAAAAATTACCTTCTTAAAAACAAAACAATTTTTCTGGAGGTCAACTATTCATTAAACAATAACACTAGGGGATCCCTATTTATTATGAAATGATCTCAAAAGAATTTTAAATTTGGGATTTGAAACACAATTGCCTCAAAGTAGAACCCAGAGTTTTCTTAACAATCTGGGATTCTAACTTCTGAGTTCTCTGGTCTTCTACACACATATGACATTAAAGCAATGTTGTTTTTAGGTGCCCTTGAGTTGGCTCCAACTCACAGCAATCCTGTGTACAACAGGAAAAAAATGGTGCCCAGTCCTGCACCATCCTCCTAATTGTTGCTGTATTTGGGCCCATTGTTGCAGCCACTGGGTCCATCCATATCAAGGGTGTCCCTCTTTTTCTCTCTCAGCTTTATGAAGCATGATGTTTTTCTCCAGTGAATTAAATCCTTGACAACTTCCATATTTTCTCCATTTATCGGGACGTTGCTAAGTGGTCTGGTAAAGATTTTTGTTTTCTTTATATTGAGGTATTATCTATACTAAAGGCGGTAGTCTTTGATTTTATCAGTAAGTACTTCAAGTCCTCTTCACTTCAGTGGGCAAGCAAGGTTGTATCATCTGCATACTGCAGGTTGCTAATGAATGTTGGTCCAATCCTGATGCTGCAATCTTCTTATCATCCAGGTTCGCGGATTATTTGCTCAGCACACATATTGAACAAGTATAATGAAAGGATACAACCCTGACACATTTTAAATTATGCAATTATGCAGTATCCCCTTGTTCTGTTTGAACGACTGCCCCTTGGTCTGTGCATAGGTTCCACTTGAGTACAGTAAGTATTCTTGTACTCCCATTCTTTGCACTGTTATCCACAATTTGTTATGATCCACACAGTCAAATGCCTCTACACAGTTAATAAACACAGGTAAATATCTTTCTGGTGTTCTCTGCTTTCAGCCAAGATCCACCTAACACAGCAATGATATTCTTTGTTCTATATCCTCTTCTGTACCTGGCTTGAATTTCTAGCAGCTCCTTGTTGATGTATGGCTGCAGCTGTTTTCAAATTATCTTCAGCAAAATTTTGCTTGCGGGTGACATTTAATGATATTGTTCAATAATTTCCTCATTCTATTGGATCACCTTTCTTTGGAATGGTCATGAATATGGATCTCTTCCTCTACCTGGCCAACTAGCTTAAACCAATACTCTCTTCCAACATAGGTACCTATGTAAGATCTGGCCTGGTGTGTTATAATTACTTAGTGGTGTCTATTACAAGTTTAGAAAATATTTACAAATGCAAACACTAGATTATGATTAACATTTAATGTGTGAATCAGAAATATATAAATAGAAGTTTATCAGGTATGTCTATGCAGAGGGGACTGTGTCCAAGACCATGTATAGGGTTGGCAGACAATGTTTCTACAAATGTATTGGTATGTTCTGTAAGAATCCCAAGTATATAGTAGAGCTGACAAGAGGCAAGGTTGTACTCACTTCTTGGGCACAGCCAGCTACCCAAAGGGAGCAAGCAGTTGGACCCATGGACTTGGGACCATAGTCTCAGGGGACATCAAGCTCAATTGGCATAACATACTACATAAAACCTTGTTCCACATCCTACTTTGGCAAGTAGCAACTGGGATCATAAAAGCTTGCAAGCAGCCACCCAGATGCAACAATGGGTCTCTCCTCACCCAGAACAAAGAAGAATGAAGAAAACCATTCATGAATGATTCATGAAAACAATTAGTCCAAGTGATTGGTACACCATGTGATCTTTAGCCTATACAACTATGAGACCAGAAGAACTAGATGGTGCCTGGCTACCACTGTCAACCACTCAGAGGGGGATCTATGTAGGGGATCCTGGATAGAGTGGGAGAACAATGTGGAACAAAACTCAAAATCATTAAAAAAAGGAAAAAAAAAGGACCAGGTTTGCTGATCTGACAGAGCCTTATGGAACCATTGAGACTATGGCCCCTAGCTGCCTTTCAGGTCTGGAACTGAACGTACTCCCGGGCCTTCCAGCCAAATAAAAGACAGGTATGTGAGGTGAACATTTACATGAGGTAGATACACTCCTTGGAGAGAACAATCATAGGAGAATAGAAGGGCTAGGTATGCACAGGGAGACAGCTCAGGGTTCAGGAGTGCATGGAGGGATGGACACAGGGAAGAGGTAACTATGGGGAGGGAGTGAGAGGGGAGCTGTTGCATTGTGGTAAATTGTAGTCAATGTCATGAGACAAAGTGTATGTGAGCTGCTGTATAGAAAGTGAATTTGCTCTGTAAACTTTTACTCAAATCACAATTTAAAAAAAAAAAGTTTTAGATATTTAAAAAGCTAAGGATCTCTTAGATCTCACCCCCCCAGGTAACTGTCAGACATTTTGAAAGTCAGTATTCATTTCAGGTTTGTAAGCTACTTAAAATCTAGAATGTGATACTTACTTTTAATTAAGGGTAAAATTATGGGAAAAAGAGTAGGCTTCATGATACAGACTCTCAGATCTAAGGCTAATAGTTGGGCAATTGAACAAGAAATAACATGATTATTAACAATTATTTAAAGCCTTGGAAATCCTATAGGGCAGTTCTACTTTGTCCTGTAGGGTCACTATGACTCCAAGTGGACTCAATGGCAATGGATTTTGGAATTTTTTAGGTAGTTCTTGGCTGCTAACTGAAAGGGTGGTGGTTGGGACCCACCCAGCAGCTCCCTGGGAGAAAGCCCTGGCAACCTGCTTCGGTAACAATTACAGCCAAGGAAATCCTATGAGGCTGTGGAACAAAACACAAAATCATAAAAAAGACCAGGATTACTGGTCTGACAATGACTGGTAGAACTCCCAAGACTTTGGGCCTTAGACACCCTTTAAGCCTGGAACTGAACTTACCGCAGTGGCTCAACTTTCAGCCAAATGACAGGCCTGTAAAATGAACAGTAACACCAGGGAGGTATGCATCCCTTAGACCAACCATCCATACAAGATCAAAAGGGCAGCATTTGCTGGGGATAAAGCTCACATGTCAGGAAAGGATAAGAATAATGGATGAAGAGGAATGGTAAACACAGGGAGGAAGTGGGAAGAGTGCTATTACATTGTGGGGACTGCAATGAATGTCACAAAACAAAGTGTGTATGAATTGTTGAATGGAAAATCAATTTGCTCTGTAAGCATTCACCGAAATCACAACTTAAAAAAAAAAACCCTATGGGGCAGTTCTATTCTGTTACATGGGGGTGGGTGACAAGGCACTATGAGTCAGAATCAATGGGACAGCACTCAAGAACAACATGACATAAAATATATGTTAAGCTATGCACCTAGTTCTCGTATTTCCAATGGTTTATTTGGAACTGATCAAAAGTCCCTTTTCCCCTACCCTTTTTCACTTATTTGATATATGTAAGAATTAATTTAAAATCATTTAAGTAAATCTTCCCAAAAAACCAAATTCACTGCCATCGAATTGATTCAACTCACAGCAACCCCTCTTTGGGTTTCCAAGGCATTATCTTTATGCAAGTAGACTGCCCAATCTTTCTTCCGAGGAGTGGCTGGTGGGTTTAAAACTCCAGCCTTCTGGTTAGCAGTCAAATGCCTTAGGCACTACACCACAATGGTGGGTTTTCTCAGAGGTTTTGCTTTAAATAAATTTTTAAAAAGGCTGACTACTACTTACAGTGTTATAGAGCTTATCAAACTCTGCATATCTCCTGAAGACAAACCATTCACTCCTGCCCACTGACACCAGAACCTTATAAACCTGTGGAAATAAAAAATAAAACTAATAAAATTTAACTGCAAAAACAAACTCATTAGCCATTCAAATACATTAAACTTGTTTTCATATTCATAAAACATTATATATACGATTCACCAACATATATAGGCTTATCAACATGATCAAAAGTCAGTATTTTGTTTTAAACTGTTATATTTCTGAAATTTTCAGAGAATAAGATAGTGAGCACCATGTACCCATTATTAAACCAGTTGCCATCAAGTTGGCTCTACCTCGTGGAGACCCCACAGGTGTATGAGTAGAACTGTGCTCCAGAATGTTCAGTGGTTGATTCTCTGGAAATACATCATCAGGCCTTTCCTCCAAGGCATCCCTGAATGGACTTGAACTTCCAACTTTTCAGTTAGCAGCAGATGCTGTTACCTCTTTGCACGACTTAGAGACTCCACCCACTATTTAGATCTACTATATTGTAACATTTTTGTTTCAGATTTTTTTCCCTAAGAATTATAGATTCAATTGATGCCATTCCCCTCTTTTCTTACCTAGCAGTATGCACTACCCTGAAATTATGTGGTATTTATTTTCAAAAGTGATGCCTGACACATACCAAAACCAAATCTACTGCTAAGTTGATTCAGACTCACAGCAACCCTATACGACAGAGCAGAACTGCACCAGAAGATTTCCAAGGCTGTAATCTTTATGGGAGCAGACTGCCACGTCTTTCTCCCATGGAATGGCTAGTGGTTTCAAACCACCAACCTTCTGATTAGCAGCCAAGTGCTTAACCACTGTGCCACCAAGGCTCCCTAACTGGCACACAGTAAATACCCAATTAAATGTCAGTTTTCTGCTTCAAGGTCATCTTATACACAGTATTTTCAAGAATTATCTTCAGATTTCCTGATATGATCTTAATAAGTGTTTAATATTTTTATATCACCTCATATAATCTTAACAACCCTATGAAATGAGCAGAACAAATATTCTAACTCCACTATACATAAGAGGAAATGATGGCTCAAAAAGTTAAGTAATGTGCTCAAGTTCACAAACTTAATAATAATGAAAATATATATATATATAATTGGAACTAAAATCTAAATCTAAACCCCTCCATGCACCAGAATGAGTATCAAGATCATTAATACTTATAATATAGAAGTAACTCTCATAATTCATCCCACAAGTATTTCTAGAGTATAACTTAACATGCCAATGCTGGAAAAAACAGCATGGAACCCCAAAGAGCTTACATAATTTCTAAAGGGAAAATAACAATATCTGTATCTATATACACAGAAGTTAAACAGGTATATGAGGAAGAAAGTTGACTGGTGTGTGGCTTGGGTTATCAATCACAATATTTTACAGTAGAGACTAGGAGAAAGAGATATGAGTGTACTGGAGTTTACAACATAATTGCCATAGTTGGTTAGACAACTTAAAAGAGGAAACCAGATTTTTTTTTTTTAAAGATGGACATACAAATGTGTCTAAACTATCCTTTCCAATTAAAGGTAGGTAAGCTACACTCAGGAGCCCTGGTAGCATAGTGTCTAAGGCACTTGACTGCTAACCAGAAGGCTGGTGGTTCAAACCCACCAGCCACTCCTCGGAAACCAAAGGAGAGGTCGTTATGAGATGTGTCCGACTCGAGGGCACATAACAACAACAACAAGCTACATTCACAAGTTCATAGTTAGATAATAGCACTGTGAGGGAAGTGACTCTCTCATACTGTATGTAACTTTATTGCATGAATAATATAGAACATTTAAGGTATGATCACATTAATAAGCCCCCGGTCTCCCTGAGGCACTCCTGAATGCAAAGCCATACTGCTCTACAAGAGAGGAGATAAGGTCTCACTTGAAGGTAAGGCAAAGTCATGGGATTCAGACACTTGTGCCAGAGATGCATTACTCAGAGCTGACAGAAAAAAACTCAGGCACCCTAGATGAGCTACAGGATAGTAATCTAGCTCTAACTAGAAGGCATCAAAGTTATCTACTGGATGTAAGATGTTAGAATCAGTTGTAAATCATAGCCTCCAGACAAGAGTCAGCCCAGAAAGAGAGTAAGGGACCTAGTCAAGGTGCCAGTGAAGTTGAGCCATGTTGCCAAGACTAGACTACAAATTTATTTCATATGTCATTCAGGATCAGACTACTACAAAAGGATCAGAAACTTAGTTTATACGACTGTACACTTCTTGCATTCTTTGTGCCAACTTCCAGGTGAGGAAAGCAGGGCTCAGAAAGGTGAAGTTGCCCTCTATGGTTATGCAAAGAGTTAAGACTAGAACCCAAGTCTAAGTTCCAGAGTAAAGCAGCTCTGCTCCAAATATATTTATAGGAAGTAAGACAAAACCTTGTGAAGTTACTAAATAAAAGTATGATTTATGAACAACTGCTTATTGTTAAGTTCTAATAAAATCCAATAGGCAAAACCAAAAAACTTTTCAAACAAATATTTTCATTAGAGAAAAAAATCCAGAATTTCACAGAAAGCAGCACAACACTAATTACAATATAAAATTATCCTATTTATTTGCATTTGAGTACTTGTTTATTGTCTGTCTTGTTCCACCAGAAAGCAAGTTCCTTGAGAGCAAGGGCCGTGTCATTCTATTCCCTACTGTATCCCCCCAGTGTCTAGAATGGTGCCTGGCATACAACAGAAACTCAATGACAATTTCTTGAATGAATAAATTAAAGTATAATTTAGACTTCGTTTAAGTTAAGACATCCTAGAATGCAAAGCATTTCTCTGTTAGAAGCTTCATGGTACTGAGCTATATAAAAGACATATGAAAACCAGAGTATAAACAAATTAATGAATATTCAGCAACACAATGTCTAATTTTGTTCCTAAATAAAATGTAGGCATCTGGGTCTACTGAGGCTGGTATGGAGTTTATGTTTGATGGGTATAGGATCTATCTGGACTAACCAGAACCAAAGTTTCAAGAGGACAGAGGACTGCACAGTATGTGATCTGCAACCAATACTGAACTCAGTAGTACTTTTCATACATCAATTCCAACAAATATTTATTGAATGTCTACTATTTCTGTTCTAGATGCTGTTCTGTTCTAGATGCTGGTGAAACAATGGTGATGGATAGCCCTTGTATTTCAGTCAAGAAAGACATACATAAGTAAACATAAAGTATGCTGAATGGTGATAACTGCTATTAAAAATTAAGTAGAGTAAGAGGAACAAGGTGGGTGTGAAGAGTGGTCAGAAAAAGTTTCTCTGTGATAAGGTAACAGTTGAGAATGTAAAGAAATGAATAAACCAGATAATCTGGATAGGGCCTCTGAGAAATCAGGTTACAGCTCTGGGAACAGTGTGTGTGTATGTGTGCATGTGAGTGCCCAGGGGGAGGTAATACTACAGGTCTACCTGACCCTTTAACAGAAAACGGGAAAATATTTCTACCCTGAAAAAATAAAAAGACACCTGAGCTAACCCACTGCTTATACTGCTTTGTATGAATTTTTGTCAAATATGGCAGGAGGTAATGTCTCAGAAGGAAGAATGGACCAAAGGTAAAAATTAAGGAGAGGAAAGCAAGGAAAACCTTTGTTATGGATTGAATTGTGTCTCCCCTGAAATAGATGTTCTGAATCTTAACCTCTACACCTATGACTACAATCCCATTTTGGACTGGGTTGTCTTTGTTATGTTAATAAGGCAGGCTTAGTGTCGTGTCAATCTCTTAAAAATACACAAGGAGTAGATTAAGCGAGCAGAGATGGAGGAAGACAGATGCCACCACATGGAGATGTCCAAGGGGCCAGGAATCAGGAAACAGAAGCTGAAGAGAAAAGGACCTTCCCTCAGAGCCGAGAAAGAAAGCCTTCCCCTAGAGCCAGAGCCCTGAATTCAGACTCCTAGCCTCCTAAACTGTGAGAAAACAAATTTGTGTTTGTTAAAGCTATCCATGTGTGTTTTTGTTAAAGCAGCACTAAATCACTAAGATAACCTTTATACTCTTCACTATTTTATCCAAAGTAAGCTGACCCTGTTTACTTTCAATGTGATGCTGCTAAAACTTACTTACATGGATGTAGAATACATGCACAATGTTTATTAAGATAAAAAAACAAACAAACAAACCAAACTCACTGCCATCTAGTCAATTCTGACTCACAGCAACGCTGCAAGACAAAGTAGAACTGCCTAATAGGGTTTCCAAGGCTGTAAATCTTTAAAGAAGCAGATTGCCACATCTTTCTTTTATGAAATGGTTGGTGGATTTAAATCACCAACATTTTCCTTATCAGTCGAGCACTTAATCACTGTGCTACCAGAGGTAGGTAGCCAGACACACATTCCAATCTCTTAGCTCTGAGCTTCAGTGTAGCATATGGGAAGTGTTTTTTGTTAAGGAAGGGACTACAGGGAGAAGGGTGGTTTTCCCAGCTCCTTGCCTGAGACTCAGAGAAAACCACCATGTGGGGGCACCAACATGGGACATTTTACCTACTGAAGAAGGCAGAGTGGAGTGGTCAGAGAGAGGGGTTAGTTGAACTCTTCAGCTTTCTTCATTTTCCATGTGATGTAGACTCTGAGTGGAAAGGCACTTGTCTTGGGGCTCTATTGGCAGGAACTAGGTGACCTCCTTTTCAAGTAGCATAGACCACTTGAGCCAGGAGGACCAGGTGAAAGATGTGTCAGGGACTCCATGGGCTCTACACCTATTGAGAGCCCAGAGGAAGCTGAGTCAGCACGAGTGCCCACCAGACCCTGGCCAAGCCAACAAAGAACAAACCACAAGTTCTTTCATCAACTGCAAGTGCCAGCAATGGATATGAGCAAAATGGCAGGCATAGACTAGGCCAATCAAAGCCAAAGGTTTGCCAGACCAACCCATCCACAGCTGGAATGGTAAGGATCTAGAGTTACAATAGGAACACAAGAGCCTTCATCCTACTCCCATGAGCTCAGCCACTGACTCAGCACGTACTGTAAAAGGAAAGCCCTCCCCTCATAAACCACAGTCTGCATTCAAATAAGAGAAAAAGAACAAAATTAAGACAGCCCTGGTGTTTGCACTTAAAAGACTAAGTATTACTCAACTGACGTCTAAATTATTAGATCAAATAAAGTGTTAAACAGAATTGGATTAAAACCCAGGTGAATAGGGGTTTGCAAGAAGACCCCTATTAGTTATAGACAAAATAAGTAACATTTTCTCAGGGATAGTGGTGGTGAGAGGTATCTGTATATATGAACAGATTGGAACTGAAGACAATATCGTATTTTTTATGACACTAATTAGAAATCTGACCAGTGTTTTCTAAGAATAGTCATTGATAGGTTAACTCAGCAAATATTCACTGCACACAGGCAATCCTCAATTGAGGATGGCGCTCCAATCTGATGATTCAGTCGTCAGTTCAGACATAAAATGCTTCATTGTTCACTTCTGGTTTTCATTATTATTGCCTTTTATTATCAGTATCTTTACAAATCTAATCTTTATTTGTCTTTGGAGGTTGGCATGAGAATGACAATTTACGTGCTGGAACACTATATGTAGTACAAATTACTTACGGTAAGATGTACCAAAAAAAGAAAACTGACAGTTGTAAGTGTAATTCATCGTAACTAGAATATGTCATAAATCAGGGACTACCTGTACTTATTATTTATAAAGCCCTATAGTAGATTAAAAACAAAACTCATTGCTATTGAGTCGATTCAGACTCACAGAGACCCCCTTTGGGTTTCTGAGGTGATAAGTCTTTACAGAAGTAGATTACCCAGTCTTCCTTCCATGGAGTGGCTGATGGGTTTGAATTGCCAACCTTCTGGTTAGCAGTCAAATACCTTAGGCATTGTGGTGGTGAAGTCTCTGTGTCAACTTGGCTGGGCCTGGTTGAGTGGCTGGGCAGGTGGATGTAATATTCCCCATGATGAGACTGGTAATCAACTCCATGGTGGAATCTATTGTGAGCAGGTGAGTAGCTGCCTTTGGGTATGTGGTCTGCTTCCTGTATATAAGGAGAAGCCTTGGGGAATGGTCTGTAGCTTATGGCATGCTTGAATCCTGCAAGTAGCCATGTTGTTGTTCAGCAGCCTGCCATGTTCTGCCGACCTTGGGACTTTCGATGGACTTGAATTAATGGCCTGCCGCGTGGTTTGGTTTGGTAACATTGGGACTGTACCTTTTTATTTGTCAACCTTGGGCTTGTCAGTCTCAGCAGCCAGCAGCTGTCTGAATGACAAAAAGCCTCCAGCTCCAGTAGACCAGGAACAGGAGGAAGAGCTGAAACCCAAGGTTGACGGGCTTTCAGCCAGCCCCTAGAGCCTGGCACTTTGAACTCAGACTTAAAGCATCCAAACTGTAAGAGAATAAACTCGTGTTTCGTCAAGCATCCCATCTGTGGTATATTATTGTCAGAGTGGCACTGGGTAACCAGAACAGGCACTATGTCACAAGAGCTCCTTATAGTAGATAAGGCATTGGTGGTCCAATGGTAATATTCTTACCTCCCATGTGGGAGACCTGGGTTTAATTCCTGGTCAGTGCACCTCATGCACAGTCACCACCCACCTGTCAGTGGAAGTCTGAGTGTTGTTATGATGCTGAACAGGTTTTGGCAGAGCTTCCAAACTAAGATAAACTAGAAAGAAAGGCCTGGCAATCTACTTCTGAAAATCAGCTAGTGAAAACCCTATGGATCACCGTGGAACAGTGTCTGATCTATAACCAGTCACGGGAGTGATACAGGATTGGATAGCATTTTGTTCATTTGTGCACGGGGTTGTCATGAGTTGGAGGCCAACTCGATGGCAGCTAACAACAGTAGTTGCTATGGTGATAAAAAGTAAAATTAAAAGTGGGGAAAAGAAAGAAGATAAAACAGTGGATTAAATATTTAAAAAATTGAGACAGGAAATGATAAATACCATGATATTGTGGAAATTCTAAGACAGTGATTCTTAACATGGGATCAATGACTTCATGAATATATTGATTGCTGATAGGGCATGCAAAATGATACAGATGTATGCATCGGTACAAGGGTATGCACATGCACATTTTGTGGTGAGTGGGTCCATCATTTCCATAGTTTCTCCAAGGTGGTAAGTACATATGTGAAATTCTACACTAGAACCAAAAAACAACAAATCAAACTCACTGCCATCAAGTTGGTTCCAATTCACAACAACCCTATAGGGCATGGTAAAACTGCCCCACAGGGTTTCCAAGGCTGTAAATGTTTACTGAAGTAGCCTGTCTTATCTTTGTCCAGCAGAGCAGCTGGTAGGTTTGAATCACTGGCCTTTTGATTGGCAGCTGAATGTTTTAAGTAATGTACCACCAGAGCTTCCTATCCACACTAGAACAGGAACCTTTATTCCAGGATTGACAGGGATGACTTTGTATAAGACACATCATTTGAAAGACAGATAAAATCTGGATATGTGGAGATGGGGCAGCAGTCTAAGCTATGGAAGAATAAGAGCAGAAATGGAAATATTCTCTATATCAATGTTTTCCCATATGTTTTAATGCTACATACTTACAGTAAACCTCTTCTTTTTCTCTCTGTGTTCATCAGAGCTGGGAATGCTAACACTTGGGCAGCTTTCCTTGTAGTCCATGGTATAATTTCTTTGGGTTTAATGCCACAAAAAGACACCAAAAACCGAATCCGAAGAAACAGTCAGCAGACAAACATCATTAACTAATCCAAAATATAAAACCTCTTGAAGTAATGTTCAAATTCCATCATGCAACCTTAACCAACAGGGGGGAAAAAAAAAAGAATTGATTAGCAAAACAACTTAAAAAAAAAAATACCTTGATTTACAATTCCTTGTTAATAGGACCCATTTTATGTTACTTCTGGCAGTAATTTACTTTTGGCCGTAAGACTTCACCCTCATTTAGAGATTTAGTTTCTCTTACATCCTTATCACTATAGCTAAACCACAATCAAACATCTGTATCCCATCTACTTCCTTGCAGCTAGGAAATTCTCGTATCTTATGCACAACAGTTTATGAGAATGATAAGCTAACTCTCCCCTAAAAGATTGATAACACAAACAACACCACAATGCACTGCTGTCAAGTCGGATCCGACTCAAGGCAATCCCTCCTTGGGCTTCCGAGGCAGGAACTCTATGGAAGTGGATTGCCCAACCTTTCTTCTGAGGAGTGGCTGGTGGGTTTGAACTGTCAGCCTTCTAAGCAGTCAAATGCCTTAGGCACTATGCCACCAGAGCTTCCACCAAGATTCATATACCTAGTAAAACTGTCTCTCAACTATAATGGTAAAATTAGGACATTCTCAAATAAACAGAAATTAAGATAATTTGTAAAAACCAGACCAACCATAAAATAAATGCTAAAGGGAGTCCTTCAGTCAGACAACTGACAATAACAGATTAGACACATGGCAACATCAAAGAGAAATCAAAGAAGATAGAGAAGTATCAAAAATAAAATGATCCTACAAGACTGAAAATCAGGAACTAGAGATGAAATTTTGTTAAAAATGATAATTACAAAGCAAAAAGAGGTAATAAATCATGTAGTTACAAAATTTCCAAATAGAGAGGAAGTCCAAACAGTATTAAGATAGAATAGAATGCTTTAAACTTGGGGAGATAATAATAAATTACAGGGTAAATAAAAAAATTAGTAACCTCACCAAAATAAAAAAAGAGAAAATCATAAAGTTTTAGTAAACACTAACACAACAGCAATGAAGGAAATAAGAAAATCCATAAACAAAAAGAACTCAGCATAGAAAAATATATTCAATGAATAAACCATCAACATTACCACAAAAACAAAAACCCACAGCAGTAAATTTATACATATTGATAATTACACTGACTATAAATGGATTAGGAGCTCTGGTAGCACAGTGCCTAAGGCACCTGACTGCTAACCAGAAGGCTGGTGATTCAAACCCACCAGCCACTCCTCGGAAGGAAAGTTGGGCAATCCTACTTCTGTAGTGATAATGCCTTGGAAACCAAAGGAGGGGTCGCTATGAGTTGGGGCTGACTCGACGGCACATAACAACAACAACAACAATATAACTGGGTTAAATGATGAGTCAAGAAAGTACCAGAATGGGTAAGAAAACAAGACTCAACAACACACTGTCTAAAAGAGACACAACTTGGACACACAAAAATAAGTTAAAGATAAAAGGCTGGAAAAACATATTAAGGAAAAGGCAATCAGAAAAAAAGCAGGAGTAGGAATATTAATTTCTGATAAAATAAACATTAAGGCAAAAGACACAAAGAAGAACATTACATAATGATTATGGGGTCAATTAAACAAGAGAACCTAAACATAATAAATATATATGCAGCCAATGAAAGAGCCTGGAAATACATAAATCAAACTTTAAAATAATTGAAAAGAGAAATAGATGACTCCACAATAATAGTTTGTTATTGCTGTTGTTGTTATGTGCCGTCAAGTCGGACCCGACTCATAGCAACACCTCCTTGGGTTTCCGAGGCAGTATCGCTACTGAAGTAGATTGCCCCATCTTCCTTCCGAGGAGTGGCTAGTGGGTTTGAACCACCAGCCTTCTGGTTAGCAGTCAAGTGCCTTAGGCACTATGCTACCAGAGCCAGTAACCTTTAATACACCACTTTCAATGAGGGACAGAACAACTAGACAGAAATTCAACAAAGTTACAGAAGATCTCAACAAAACAATCAACAAACTAGACCTCTCACAGATACATACGAAACACTCTAGCCAATAACAGCACAATACATATTCTTTTCCACTGCACACAAAACATTCTCCAGAATAGATAATACATTATGCTACAAACCAAGTCTCAATAAATTTAAAGACACCAAAATACTACAAAACATCTTCTCAGATCACAATGCTATAAAATTAGAACAAACAGGAAGATCAAGGAAAAAATATAATACGCAGGGAAACTGAGTAATACCCTGCTTAAAACTTATCAGGTAATTATGGTTTAATTTATTATAAAATGAAAAAATTCCCTGAAGCAAATGAGAATGAAAACACATCATAAGAAACTCTTTGGGTCACAGTAACAGCAGTGCTGAGAGGAAAATTTATAGCAAGAAACACAAATCGGTGGCCGCCGGCAAGATGGTGGACTAGGCAGAAAGGCTGCACAGACCCTCTTCAACAAAGAAGAGGGAAAACAATTAACACAGACACAGAAGATAATCCTGGACTCCTGAGCCTTGAAGGGAAGCATACAGACGTGGACTAAACCCCAACTAGCAGAAGAATTTGCGTGAAAATACCAAAAAAGGAGACAGATAGAGATGCAGTCTAGCAGTGATCCTGAGTGATCCTGACAGCACAGACAGCTTGGAGATTCCCAAGTGGTGGTGGTAGTGTTGTTGTTATGTGCCGTCAAGTTGGCCC